ACAAGCAGATGTAAGTTTCAATTCGAAGATGGAAGTTTCTGTTGAAGGACGTTAACGTCGTAATAGTTATGTTTTTATAGTTTGAACGTTAGATAACGAGGCAGAACTTTTGAATTACAAACACAGACGCGTGTGAATAAGAATAGTTGCAATTGTAAATATGAAGTTGTATCGTGATATGTATTTATAACTAATTGGAAATCATTAAATACGTTCCTTTTTATTTCGAAGCTGGCAAGATGATCGTACAATTATTGCGTTCTCATGGCATAAGTATAATCAAATTATCCCATTTCATCACCGCAGAAAGATGTAGGTAATTGTAGACAGCGTGTAACTTACACCGTTGAGTCATATATTGTATTAATATTCGATCCTATCGCCTTCCATTCTTTTTTACAATTGTAATCAATTACCATCATATACATTTGGGCCATTGAGAATGAAAATGAAGTAAGCTGCATTGTTTCTAAGTGTGAATTCGTAGGATTAATTCAATCCGATAAGTTGCATTAGTTATACAAAAGTGACGGAATTTATCTTTTTTCCAAATCAGACCCAGATAACATAACGAAATTAGTAATTGTATTGAATATTCTGCGCTCACATCTATTTTATATAACGAGCTGCTCAGTTTGTTGAGTGTATGTACATACGCTTCTCGCTAAAAAGATAGCCCAGGTGTGCTGTCTTTAATTTCCCAATGACGCGTGTAAAGTTTTTCGTTTGTAACGTATAATATCAAAACATTATGAGCTCGGAATATGCGGTTCGTTGAAAATAATTAAAAATATTATGAGGTTTAGTGTGTAACAAAAAAAATTGTTTCATTTTAAGAACGAAATGATAGCACGCTATGTTAATATGTTTAGAAATCTATCAACGAGTAAAGATTACAGTACAATATTATATAAATTCGTAAATATGGGACGCGGAAGAAAATTAGACGAGTCTGAAAAAAAGCAAATTCTTGAACTGAAGCAGCAACAGTTATCGGTAGGAAAAATATCGAAAGTAATAAGAGGAAGTCGCAATACACAATTTCTTAATAAATGTTGAAGATTATGGCAAAAAAAAAGTAATGGTCGACCGTCATTGTTATCCGGTCGTGATAAGACCAATTTTGCGTGTAGTTTCTAACTCGCAGTTAACGCAAACGATTAACAAAGCAAATAATGGAAAAGTCTAGTGTTAGTGCCAGTGTTTCGAGCGTTCGTCGAATTCTACTATCCTGCAAAAATATTAAGAGGTCAAAATCGAAAAAGAAACCTTCGTTAACAAGGAAACACAAAGTAGAACGTTTGCGCTGTGCAAAAGAAAGAGTGCATTGAAAAAAGAAATGGAAAGGGTACTATTTTTTAGACGAAAAATCCTCATCCTTACTACGTACCCTCAATAGTCCTAAGGACCCATCATAAATCTCAGGAATTTGCTAGCTAAGGTCCTTCAGATCGAACAAACGTCTCTTTACTGAATCGTTTCTAAAGCTTATTGTTTACTACGGGAAGACGCGGGAAAGTTGATTTTTCCTAAAATTCTAAGACTCTTTCTAGTCCACCAACCAATTTTATCCAATCAGAAACAGCGTCTATTGTCCTCACTTTCCTAGCCAAAATTGTCATCGACAAATCCGATGGTCCTTTGCGTTAGAACATCCATCACTAGCCTTCCTCCGACACAGCATCGTCGCTTTACCTTACTTATTCTTCATCGTTAGAATAGTCAATATGTCATTGCCGGGTTTCTATCCTTAAATCAATCACTTACTTAACTTACACAGACGCATTAGTGTAATTATCTTCTTTACAAAGTTGTTGGAATAAACATTAATTTATACCTGTTAATTCGGTGTAACCTCAATTGAACCACCCCTATTATCGTAACAGAAATCAGGGGATCGATCGGTTCGTCGATTATCTAATCGTAACGGGAATTTACGACTCCCGTTGACGTGCTTCCTCTCGATCGCGTCTCTCCGCGAATGGTCGAACAAACAATTGTTTTCTTATTGTACATGTGCTACCACTTCGTTCTTAAAATAAAGCAATTTTTTTTTTGTTACACACTAAACCTCATAATATTTTTAATTATTTTCAACGAACCGCATATTCCGAGCTCACAATGTTTTGATATTATACGTTACAGACGAAAAACTTTACACGCGTCATTGAGAAATTAAAGATAGCACAGCTGAGCTATCTTCTTGGCGAGGAGTGTACATAAAGATTCAATTCGGGTATTTCATATTTGGAATGAAACGTTCGAACGAACATTATTTAATTTGCAGAGGGATACGTACGAAAAATGGAGAGCTCTTTGTGTGATTTCAACGAATTCACTTGAAGCGCGAACACACTGAAAGTTTCTTTGTCTTTGGAATCGTGTGAAGCTCGTCGATTTCGAATTTTTACGAAAATGGAAAACATGGAGGAGCGGTTTCCGTTGTTGGAGAGGAAACTAAGTACCTCGACGAAAATCGCTTATGCTTTCGGACACATTTTCAACGACCTTACTGCCGCCATGTGGTTCTCCTACACCCTTATCTATTTTCAAAGGGTGGCCCTGCTGGAACCGATCGTTGCTGGTGCTCTCTTACTTCTAGGTAAACGATTATTAAATTTTTAATTCGGAAAAACCATACGAAGAGGATGTTAAAAAAATTAAAGAGCTCATAACAGAAACGTCTCTCTAGTAATTATCTTTAATGCTTGTTTCACAAGTTTCAAGTTTTCTCGACAAAATCTTTAAAGATTTGAAAGAAAAGTCAGCGAAAAAAGTCACATCGACAAATTTGAGAAGCCAAAGTCGAAAATTGAAATCTAAAAGGTTTTATCGAAATAATCTTGTCTCGAACGTTACAGCAGATTTTCTTTATTTTCAAGGCCAAATCGTGGATGCCTTCATGACTCCCATCTTCGGAATACTCGTCGATCAGTACCTAAAGAAGAAGATTTGGCACATAGTCGGCTCGGTGATGGTCACGCTGTCGTTTCCAGTGATCTTCGGCGGCTTTAGTAAACCGTCAAACACAAGTATCATGCTCGTCTACGTGCTCAGCATCGCTGTATTTCAAACTGGCTGGGCGGCCGTACAGATATCGCATTTGTCCATGATCCCAACGTTAACGAATTCACTGCTGGCACGAGCAGATTTAACTGCAATAAGGTAACTTTAACGTCGTCCTATGCAATCTTTTCTCGTTATTTATAGAGACTGTGTACGTTATGGGGTACAGGTATTCCGCTCAAGTTGGAGCAGCCGTTGCGGTGTTCGCCGTTACGTGGATTGTTCTACCCACGAACGAAGAAGCGATGGTGCGATTGGATGAACAGGATAGTTATAAATTTAGAGTGAGTAGTTCGAATTAAACTTATCGAAAACTGTCTAAATTACGCGTATCTCGTCGACAGGAATATATTGGACGGAAATATATGTTCCGTGTTATCGTCATTCGAGCCCTCTTAATCGCCCTTCGAGCAAAAAATTTCTAATGGAGAGAGCAGGGCTAAAACCTTTCTCCGTCCTTTGTGTAATTTTCGAACGAGTAGTTTCTATCGTTAGGCGATTTCTTAAGTTCGAGAAAAGTAGAAAAGAATCCCTACTCGCGCGTCTGATATCTGACCTTAATTTTACTGAATGTTTATATGTACAACGTAGTATAATAATTATAAATATAAATGGAATCTGTGCAGGAGATAATTTGAACGAGATACGAAAGTATTAACGAACATCTTCCTTTTCAGGATATCGTGTTGACTTTAACATCGATCGGTCTGGTGGCTACTACGCTCTTCCACGTATTTCTAAAAGGGAACCTCTTAGAGAATTCCTATTTGCACAAAGGAAATATAGAAGAAGCTAGAAGGTTATTCGATAATTCGCAAAACGATCGAAACTCCTGGGTCGGTACGTCAATTTTGTTAAGAGTGGCTATGTTGTACGTAGCCAGTAGACTCTTCATTACGTTGGCCACCGTGTATTTGCCACTATACATAGAGGAAACCGATGTTAATGGAAAGCAGGCACTAGCTACCGTTCCCTTGGTCTCCTACGTATCTTCGTTTATCGCTGCTTTGTTATTAAAATATATTAATAAATCATGCGGGACAAAGGTGTGTATATTACACTAAAATGCACTTACTATTGCTACTATAGAATAATTAAGCAGCAAGTATCATTGTAAAGAGAATATTTTACTGTTATTCAGGTATGTTATTTATTGGGCACTTTAATTGGAATACTTTCTGCAGTAATTACGGAATATGGAGGAAGTTCAGCGGCAGTTATATACACTGTCGCAATTCTAATTGGAAGTGGAAGCTCGATTACAATGGTTACGGCCTTAAGTGTGACTGCAGAGATAATTGGTCCACGAACGGAACGAAGCGCTATTGTCTATTCGATCGTGACTTTCCTTGATAAAGTGGTTACAGGATTGGTTGTCATTTTTATCGAGAGATGGTGAGAGAATTGATATTTTTCAGACTGATTTTTTCCAAGTATCGGAATTAGGCATCGCAATCGTGTATCAAAAACATAAAACTATTTTATCGCACTCCTTTTAGGAGGTGCACGCAACCGGAGCTTTGTCCAAATTACAACAGAGACACCTTGGCCCTTGTTTGCGTTCTCTCCATGTCTTTGGGGCTGGTCACGCTATTTTCTGTTTCACGATGTTTAACTTAAAGATGTTGATAAGAATTTCATAAGACAGCAAAGATCGTTTCTACTCCTGTGATCCTCATAAGTCTCATCTTATAACCAAAAGTCATTTCATTTTCATATTTGCCTACCTTCACGCAAAGAAACGTACTGCCGATGAAATTTTTGCGATAAAGCTGTATAACACGTTATTAAAAAAAAAAATAAAAAAAAAAGAAAGAAGTCCTTATACGTAATGCGAATCTGAAATCGACTTGAATTTTCCCGCTAATTATTTACTCGTGCGATAACGTATACATATGGAGTCGTCTTTATCGATACAGCTGCTATTTCTATAGATTCTCGTACAGATGTCGTCGCAAGGGTGCGGCATGCCCTTGGAAATTTCCAACAAAACGGACCGGCGTGGTGGCAACGCGAGGGTACGATGACCTGCTTGATTTACGCGTTACGTGGCGAATCGTGGTTGCGTTATAGAACGTAAGGCGAGATCCGTTGAATTCTGTTTGGCCGTTATGCCTCGTCGGAGCATATAGCACGGTTATGGTATGGACCCAACGATAGAGTTTGAGCAAGGTTCGGGAAAGGGGAGGGGGACAGAGACGAACAAGCGAGCTAATCTCAGGAAGAGAGACGGAGAGGTCGAGGAAAACGAGAACGAGCGAAAGTTGGAGCGAGAGGGAGATAGCGTGCGCGCGAGCTGTCTCTCTGTAGAAAGAAAGAGAGAGATAGGAAACGAAAGAGGGACCGAGAGAGGAAGGTAGAGCGAGAGAGGGAGGTTCGCAGTGGAACAGCGGCGCCTTGGTGGACCACGAGGCAACGACAAACGGCGCATACATCGCCTCGTGCGAACATGGCCCGGAAGGTGCGCGCGAGGCTACTGCGCAGAGTCTTGTTTTGCTCGGCGGGACGAGGGGAATACGGAGGCGGACGCGCGTTCACGGGGCATGGCGTGGTGCGCGTTCTAGTAAACAACTTGTGTGCGACTCATGCGGGGAATCTGCGTCCCGAGTAATCGTGATTTTTCTGGTGAACAAACGCGATACGCCGGCTCAGAATGAATAGCACCGCACGCGGATAGATCGTTCGCCGTGTGTCTCGCGAAACACGGTCGCGTACGTGGTATTTTAGTGCGGTTTAACCAAGTTCGTCGGTCTCTCTGAGAACTCGACCGCGGACAACCTCGTGTGTTCCTCTCTCTCTGTGCGTATGTGTTTACGTGTGTAGTGACTGATACGCGTGTTTACATAGAACAAGTGTTCCCGGTGTTGACCGATATCCAGTGTCATCAATCGACTTTCGATTAGTCTACGAAGTCGAAGACGTTTCTCGCCGGCGAGCATCCAGGATTCACCTTTGTTCCACGTTGACACGGTAAGTGAATTTCATGGTATTTTCTCTCATAAAACGCATGGCCACACGAGTCGTTGGATTTCGGTCACGGCGTCGTCGTATTTATCCAACAACGCGGCCTACGTTGTATTTTACGAGCAGCAGAGAATCGGGCTAAATAGCGAATTCGGAAGACGCGTGTTCCTTATCGTCTACCGCCAATGCCTTTTGTGTTCAATGGAAGCTCGGTATTCGAGTCCTCGTTTCACCAGGACTCTTTCCTCCTGCACGAATGCGCGCCATATACACAGGACAGTCGAATCGAGCATTCACTTTGAACGCCGCTTTCGATTCTCATTGATCGTCTGTTTAGTAGTCGCTGTCAGTGGTCTGGTCACTCTAGTCGGTTGGACTCGCGGCGCGCGTTCCACCGTTTCTCCCGTCTAACGCGGTAAATAAACGAACGCATAAACGAAAGCATCGGAGGCGTAGCGAACGGACGCTAGTAAACGCTTACGAATAAAGATGTAAAAGGAAGTGCGCGATCGTTTACCTCGGATGTTGCATGACATACCATCGATTATAGATATATCGTTCGTCTGTCGAGTTTCCTCTAAGGCTGGATAAAGATCGATTCGGCCAAGCGCGCTGAACGAATCGGATGGTTTCGCGTTCGAGTGTGTCCAAACGATATCAATGGTCTGTGTGATACTGGCGTCGACAAATGTGAAAATCGTGCGCATATGTACTTGCAGCGTGTTGTCTTCGTGGGGTGAGTAGGGGAATCAGGGTGTAAAAATGGCTCGGCGAGAGGAACAGGGGGAGAATAAGATAGACAGAGAGAAACAGAAGAAATGGAGTCTAGCCAAGGGAGCGAGAAGGAAGGAAATAAAACAGTGGCGCACGAGAGTTGGTCGGAGAGATCGGGAGCGGTGTGAAACACGCGATCGGAGCCGATGTTGATCGCCCTCCTGCTAGTTCCTCTGTAAAAGGTCCTCGGAACGTCAATAGGCAGAGTAGCGCGGCTATATCGCGTTCTACGTTATTTCTCTCTTTAGTCACTGACCTCGCGGCTGCTCGGCCAACCTCGTTTCGTCGCCACTCTCGCCTCCTTGTTTACCGCTCTCGACCGATTCCAACTCGACCTCCACTCGGAAGCTTCCTCTCAGCTTCTGCCCGTTTCTCCTTCTGCCTACTGTGTCTCTAAAAAAATTCAAGTGTTTGCACCAATAAGAAGCCAGGTTTAATATTTCAGTCGTTCAGAGGCAATCGTTGATCAACACCATAATTCGGATAATATTTATATTTGTGAATAACCGAAGAGATGGAACCTAAACGAAGATTTCTTTCATCTACCGAATATCGTAATGGATATTTTACTTTCGGTGTTTTATACATGTGTTATGTTGTATTCCGTGTATTTTTGTATCTTCGATCTTGCCGTAAGTGCGTCAATATCCACGCTAGAGGAATTTATTATTGAAATTAAACTCTCACAGGGAAAGATGGTGACAAATTCGTATTCGATAATTTTTTGATTTTAATGTCGGCTAGATATTGAAAGGAGAAAGGTACAGCTTCTATGTTTAGAAGTGCAAACGTTTGTTACTACGAATATTCGTTAACTATAAATTATAGCACGTTCGATGAAGTTATTCGATTTGAGTGAACTTTTGTTGCTTCTGCTTTATTGGAACAGCTTCTTCAATTGCTCTTTTTCAACGATTCTTTCTAAACTTCCTTCCCTCTTCACGATTTCACGTATCTGTACATATCTATAACAAGTTTAACAGGAACAACATGTTTATTTGGAAATAGAGATTAGGCGAGTGAGTCAGTTTAGAGTTTGTCGAATAAATAAATAACACCAATATCAAATAGCTATGAGAATGACGCGAATTTCCCTACCTATTCCCTGTTTTCGTTGGTTGTTTACACGCTCGTTAAACTGATTTAGATTCACTGCGACAAAATGCAGCTTCTACGAGCTCGAATGGTAAACGAAACGACGAGTGTGTCTGACGGTCGAGGACATCTACAGAGACGATGATGTTGTTTTCGCCGTAGATTTGGATAAACGTTTGAAACGTCCTAAATCCTAGTGCAAGATCAGTCGCTGAGAGAACATTATATTTGAAATCGTGGATTATTTGTATAAAGCTACATAAAATAACCGCGTCCTATCATAAATCGTTCTTCGCTTCTTCCAGGGAAACAATTTATGTAGTTACAAAGACTCGATTCTCGGAGTGTTTCGAGATTGGCTCGGCGACAAAGAGCAACGAGTTCTTTTACGCACGACCGACAACACCCTGAAAAAGCGACGAAGATCGAGACAACTTCGTTCGAAGACGACAAAGATGACGATGTTTACATCTGGACGGCCTTGGTTGTACCGGGTTATTGTAATCGAATATACAGGCTTCTCGATGCTCTGATACATACTTACTTACTTACACACCATGGCGCGAGAAAATATTCCTCCTGTGAAACGATTTATGCGTTACTTAGTTCCCAGAATCATTCGTTCTCTGACATTTCAGAAAAGGATATGGATTTCTCGAAACTATTTCTCGAATATCTTTCTTTCTTTTTTTTTCCTCTCTCGATTTCAATGATTTCCATCGAATTAATATTAGCCGATAATATATTACCAAATTAATATTACATAATGGAAGGAATTTCCTACGTTTATAAGCAGAAGTTATCTACATTTTTGTAAAAATTATGATTGTCAAACTGCCAATGTGGAATACGTTTCACTGTTTACTAAAACCGGACGTATCAGTCGCAGAAATATATACTGCTAGTAACGAATCAAATAGTTTAAGTGCTCGATATTACAATGACTTTCAAAATTGTCGCAGTACCCTTTCAAATTGAATAATTTCTTTAAAATTGGGCTTTTTTTCGACAAGCTAGTAGAATTTGTTTGCTATATGATATATCAAAAGAGAGAGAGAGAGAGAGAAAAAAAAAGAAAAATGTCTTGAAAAGATTGAAATTGGTCGGAATCGAGAAGAAAGAATTCAGATTTTTTACCTTTTTTAATCTACGCTTGTAACGAAAATATAAACAACACATTTTCAACATTTATATCAGTTATATGTATATATGCTGTGATTTTCACCGAGATAGGCGGATGCGGAAACAAGCGATAGCCATCGAAGGATGTAGATTTTAGACCGAAGGTTGTGAAAAGTGTGTTTTATATCATTTTTTTTACCGTTTCTAGCTCCTACTAAGGTTAATGGATTTCGATGAAATTTTTACCACGTACACGCGTAACCGATATAAACCTTCGAACTGTGTAGTTTAAATTTTCCTTACAAACGCAGATAAAAGGTTGAGAAAAGCGATCATTATTTTTCCCGCCATTCCGATCAATCATAATGTTTTTAAAATTTGCTTTAAATCTGCATCTAGTGAATTAATGTTGCTAGTTTCTCGAGAAATCCAAAGTCGCGTGGTTCAATTCAAAAATGTCAGTTTCAAAAGTCACTGTGATAAAATTAATGTTTTCCTTGTCTGTTTCTGTAGCGTCTATCGATTACTTCGATCAATTTTAATATTTCTTACTTCGTTTCATGCATGGTATGAACCATTTTCCAACACACATTCAGATACTCTGCATACTTCTTGGTGTTCCCCGTACGAATAATTTGTATTCATAAAATATATTCGTTTGTACATTGCGATAAAATTTATGCACTATCACTATCAGATGAATCAGAATACACGCAAGAAGTTGTTCATAATCGAATTTGGCAAATTACAAGTAAATTAGTCAGCTGGAACCAACGTGTCATTGAATCGAGCGAATTGCATCTTTCTTATCATCGGAAGAACGAAATTTTCACTCTTTTCACAGCAACAAAATGAACCGTGCTCGGAAAGCAGAATTTTTATTGTCGTTCGTGGCGCGTACGTACGTGGCTCAATCGGTTGCGTAACAACGTATTCGCGTACGCGTCGCAAACAAAATTTTTATTGCGTTCGTCGCTACCACCTCGCTTTTAACATTCTGCGTCGCAGTGCCGACTGTGACTCTATTTTCTCGGGCTTGCGTAAGAAAACGTAAACCCAAGCGCGGCCACGCTCGATTCGCTGTCGTAAATAACGATCCTCCAATGTTTCTGGCCGCTTCGACACCGCAAAAGCCGTTGACGTCACGATGTGACCGTCAACGACGCTCTATTCGCGTCGCGACGTCCCTCTATTTGGTAAAAATCGGACTTCCAGCCTATAGGTCCAGCGAGACCCGTAAAGTCTTGCCGTGTACGAACGTACTATGTCAGCGCATGTGTAAAATGTCGTTTGTTCGATGTTTCAATTTATTAATTATCAATTATCATGATCGCATTAAAAGCAAGAAAAAGAAAATTACTATAAATCATGTTATGTCGAGCGTTAAGGAGATTGCGTTTACGCAAGTGTTATAAAGCAAGGAGCTGTGATTTGTCTTAAATTATTTACGCAATGTATAACGTTCATTGATTGTTTCTACTTTAATAGATTATATCTGCTTCAATTGTTTGTTTTATTCGTCGATATTTGTAAATTCAAACTACCTTTCCTTATCTGTCGAGAATGTCTAAATAAACACGAACGTAAATGAACTGTCTCTACGTTGAAATGCTCGGGTTAACTGAGTTATATTAATAATGAATGCGAGGAAAAAAGGTGGGATTAAAAATTATACAGTGGATAGTTAACGTATAGTATAAATCATCGCATAATGGTGTATATTACCGCGATCCTGGTACAACATAGAACGTCGTCTTAACGTGTAGGCACTAAATCATAAATATTAGAGTTGTCCATAATTGCTTTCTTGTAGGAGAACGAAAAAAAAACCTCTGGCATTTTTCATTTCTCTTCGGTAAATTAACATTTTTTTTTTTTTTTTGTACAAAATATCCATCGCTCTAACTAAATCTGTAATTACAGAATTAATTAATTAAAATACGAAGTTCGTTTGATTACAAGCCAGAACATAGATCGTTTAATATCAATTAATATCAAATTGATATGAATATTCC